CAAAGCACTTTAAAAAAAATATGTGTGATTTTACACAACCAAAGGACTAGCAAAAACACAAAACTATAACCTCAGAACAATCAGGACTATTTCATTAGCTCATTCACTTGCTGGGCTCTAGAAACTCCAGTGCACTATGTTTGTTAGTATACAACTGCTACATATATGGCTTTTCAGATTGGCAGCAGTTTGATTGACATTGTAAGAGACCTCTAACCTGGATAATTAATTCAGAAACATTACTGTGTTTTGAAATGCCATCCTCTTGATCGCTTGCTAGTATAAAAGGTACAACTTGACTTTCTATCCAAGCACCTGTCTCCTTCAGAAGCGAAAGGTAGTCTCTTCCTTCTTCAGAAAACTGGAAAAAAAAAATAGAAGTTGTTTACCAATTGTCTTTCCAATTCTTTTGGAATTTCCTTATGATATCAGCTGTAATTCCAGCTTATACTGAAAAGGTATAACTATACCTTGTTCTGAAGATGAATACTCAACCTGCAAAAGAGGCTGAAGGCTCTTAGGCCAGTTGCTTGATTGCATCTATCAGAACCTGCATCAGTTGCTTTCAGAATTGAGCCAAGAACCTCCTGAAATATCAAGGTTTACATTCATATTTTCCAGAAAATCCCTTCAAATGTTTCTTTTCTCAACAACTTTAAACAAAAGATTTTAAAAAAACCCAAAAAACAAACAAAAAAACCACCACAAAACCTAAAACACCCCCAAAATGCATACTTTCAATTACTTTCATTTTGCAATGCCATAACTGATTCTCAGACTATTCCTTCATCTACATTCCAAAAGTTAGGTCCCTTAAAAATGCTCAACACCACATCACAAAAATTTTGAGACACATCTAAAAATGACAAGCTGGTTAAAATATGTCATCTATAAACAATTCTGAACTAATATACTGCTAGTTTAAAATATTTGTTTGAAGTACAAATCAAAAGAAAAACTTTTTTATAGAGAGGAAGAAGGGACCATGAATCTTATTTATTTATTTATTCTTGCCTTTAATTTGACTCAGGCAATATATGATGTTAAGCAGTCTTTTATAAGCATTGTTTATGGTAAGGAAAATACTACCTTTGCAGCACTGAGAATTTTCAAAAGCTTCTTCAATTTCTTTTTAGGAACAGAGAGTAGGCAACCACGATTAACAGGATGAGTCAATAAATATTCAATGTAATCAATTGCTAATTCTGGCTTCGATTCATCTGTTACATGGATACGTACTCGTCGTTCAGATGTTTTAATACTCTAAATGAGAAAAAAAGCACAAAACCAGTACAATACTGTTAGTATCTTACTTTACAACTAATTCCAAAGCAGAATAATATGGCATTAAAGAGGCTTCTTCTATTAAAAAAAAGCATGATGCCTTTACGTAATCTAGCAATTCCTTAATTCTTTGCAGTATGCATATGCACACCTTTCTTGGGGTGAGTGTGTCAGACAACCAATCACAGGCTAATTCCATAATATGTCCCACTTGACCCCAGCGACACAAGCAGTCTATCAGGGTAGAATATTTGCTTTGGTCAGCTCCATTGTCGACATTTCTGAGTCTGGAGATCACACCACAGCTTAAAAGAAAACAAAAAAACCAGAGAGAGATGCATTAGCTTTGCATCCATTAGTGAAGAAATAAGTCAAAGAAAATCAACCAGCGTATTACCAAAAAAGATTCACCAATGGCTCAAAGGCATATTTGCACCTCACAACTTTTACTAACTTACTGAATTCATTTAGTGGATTAATTGATTCAAATGGGCATTTAATACATCAAATTGTGAAAAATTAAGAAATACAGTCAACAAGAGATTTCTTGTCATTCATATTTTGGATTTTAAAATAGTACCTGAATGTAGGAATAGCAGCAGGGGGCATAAAGGATGCCAGAATAACCAACGGTGTCATGCAACGCTCATCCTAGGATAAAAAAAGTACACTATATGATGTACATGTACCGATATACACATGCACACAAAACTAAAGAGAGTAGCAAAAAAGTATGATTAAATTATCTCAAATTAAGGATTTCCCTTTTTTTCACCAGACATGGAACTGAAAGAAGCTCGTAACAACATTTGGCTTGCAATCTGAAACTTCTGAATGCTATTCTCAGAGGTCAATTATCAATTATCTTATCACTCAGCTTTCTGACAAGCTGTCAGTACAATTACCATGAATAATTATGGCTCCATTAGCTTAATAACCATTGCAAAAGAAATAACAGCTATAACTTAGCTTTTTTCCAACAGTGGCTAATATTTAATTGCACAATTATGACACCACCTAACTCCTCTCAAGTAACTAGTGCCTTGAATATTCATTCACATCAGAAATTTATAAAAAAGACTTTAAAGAAAAGGGTGCTTATATAACAATGGTAACACAAAATGCACTAGAAGTTGTTACAACTCATCATGATACAAGGTTTAGACCACGACACAGTCTCACTCGGATTATATAGAAACCAATCTACGTTTTAAGACCTCAAAAATAGTATAACTGTATGTCCAAGCTTCATTAATACAATCAAATGAAATTATTATCTACTTAGACATTTGAAGAACTAAAACCTTTTAAAGATGATTTTTAAAAGTACATTTAAAAATATATTTGTAGCTTTCGAGGAAAAAGACATGCTGTTTCAATCTGCAGTCTTACAGAAACTAAGCCTCTGATGACAGGTCTTTTTAGATCCAAGCTGCTTACTCACTGTAAGAATATCAAAGTCAAAGAGGGTGCTTGCTAAAGCTGGATATCTTGTCTGAACCTTTCGGGAAGGATGTTACATCCTCTACCCAAAATGATTTGCAATGTTTTTGACAGCTTCCAAATTGTTTCAGGGTAGAGAGAGAATATTATGTAGCAATGAATTGATTTCTACTCCCTGATTATCTAAAGCAAACTTGAATGTTGTTAAGGATAACAGCCAGCCTAACTCACTATAGTTTAGCATAAAAGCCATAAACAAAAGATGTCCAGTAGATAATCCTTCCAAATGCACTGCAGGCTGCAGCAGATACTATTAGCCACTATCAAAAGATAGCATCCTGAAGAACAACACTAGAACAATTAAACAGATCAAGGAGACTGAATATTACTATTTTAATGAATTGCTTATATCAAACCCAAATAATAAATAAGTGCATCAAAAGAGAGAGTAGAATCAAATCAGAGAAACTAAACACAAGAAAGCAAAAAAGGAGCCTCAGCTGCTTCAGCTGTCTGTTTCAGCAGTTGGATCATAATAAATGGCGATGGTGGAAGGGTTTGAGAGAGAACGGGTAGAAAAACATGTGGACTCTCATCAACACTATTTATTCTGCAATGACACATTTTCAGTTGATTTCCAAAAGTTCAAAAACATTCAAAAGAATGGAATCCTATAAAAATATTACAGGGAGAGCAATTTATTGCATAAGTATTTATGTGTTGACTATTTAGATAATGGTTCATCAGTCAGACATTGCAATTGTAGAGTAGCTTCTACCCATTTGTGGAATTTCAAGAAACTTGGTATTGTTTATGGTTTATAGCAACAATGAAGAAGAATACTGAATGCCATGAAAACAGATAAAAGACATAACACATGAACGCATCTGAAGAAAATGCTAAGCACTTACAGAAAAATCTAGGCTTTCTTTACCTTAAATACTTTAAAATATTCAGGAAGTACAGAAGCAAATTTTCTGACAGCATAATCTTTGGCATCTTCATTGTGATCTAGTGCTTTGTGAATGCTTCTCCAGAGAATGACAGTGATCTCCAACAAACTTGCCATGCTGGCCACATCATTTATTGACAATACATTATCCAACACCTGAAATACAAGCACTTAGTGATATCACCTTTTATATTCTCAAATATAAATTTACGTTAAAATAAGGTTTCAAAAAAATGAAAATCCTTCTATTCATTTCACAAAGGTATTATGTTTGTTGTAGAACATGAACTCCACAAATCATTCTTTATATATGTAACTTGAGTCATCCTGCAGTGTTAATTTTTTTAATAATTTAACTGCAGAATCAAACAAAATTATAATTAGTACTGGAATTAAGGAAGCCCTCATTTAAAATATGAGTACTATTCATATTCCTTCTATCTTATTCTAGCTACTTCACCAAATTTCTGCTATTGCATGACATGAAAACACCATAATGACATTTCTCCCCTTCTAATTTCACAGATGCCCAAGTGCTTTCCTTCAGATTCCTGTTGTATCATTAATTGCCTATGTCTCAAATTAAGCACCACAGAAAAAAAGTTACCAGAACTTATCATAAAGTGGACTTTCTTACACTTGTATTCTCCTTTTCATTTTCTTCATCATCATCGTCACTATCATGAAGACTCTCTTTCATTGCTTTCTGGATGCAGGCATTCAAGCAGCGCCGAATAGTAAGCATCAATTTAGCTACATTTAAATATAGAAGAATAAATTAGACATTTACTATTTGTTAAGAATGTTGCTAGTAAATGTTTCTAAGTGTAATGCTGGAAAGCCAGTATGAAAAGTAGGCAACAGAACCAGAAATAACTATGAAAAAAGATACCTAATTTCCTGCTAAAAGGAAACGGAAAAATGTGAAAATGTTTTATATCCTCAAGTATGAAGAAATGGCAATATTATCACCAGGTTCTATAATTTTATTGTTAGAATGTCTACTCAAAAATAAAACCAACCATCACCTTATCAGATCAGGATCAGAGGAAGCTCCCACAACTCCTACATTCATCTGGCATAGCTATTAATTTAATGCCCTATGTTCAATAACACATTCCCTCCAAAGTCAATTACAATTATTTATAAAAGATGCGGTAGCCTGACCATTGCACTCCTTAATGAGAAGCTTAGCTCTAGATAAAAGTGAAAGGGTCATGTCCACTCTAGTGGAAGCATGACTAGCTGAAATACACTAGCACATGTTATTTCAAAACTACCTTACCAAGGTAATATGATCAGTCAAGGGGCGATGGCTTGGGCATTTTACCCAAGTCACTCCATGCTGACTACTTTGTGGTTATAGTATCAGAACTCCTCTGAAACAAAATTTTCCCAATTTTACTTGGTTCAATAGCTGTACTCTGTGCAGTACATATCCTTTTCACTGAAAGTGTCTGAAGTTTTTAATAGGAAGGAAGACTTTTTCATTTTGTCTGAGCAACTTGAAAATAGTACTGATCCACAAATGTCAGATAATCAGATTATCAGACATAAATATTTTTCACCTTCTATACAATCTTCCACATAAAATACCCTGGTGTCTCAAGTGATTTGAGTTTTTTATTTCTCTTAGATAGTTTTAAGGTACGTGTGAGGAGAAAGTGGAAAAGAGAAAACAGAAAACGGCACCGGCTAGAGAGGACAGCATAGCACCTAAGAGCAGAAACAAAAAGCTTTGGTCTCTTCATTGTTGAAAAGCTTATGACTGTTGTCACCAGAGCTCATTGCTAACGTCAAGAATTTCAAAAAGTACAAACTAATATTATAGTAAAAACAAAAGATCTAGCAACAATGTACCACTGTTAGAGAAAAAATTTAAAGAGCAATTACATGGCTTGATATTAGTATTTCCACAGACTCATAAGGTTTTGCACTTTACCTATATTGGTGGGGGCAGTATATTCATAAGCATATTGATAGAACTTTCTAGCTGCTGCTGAATTCATCTGGATTAGAGTAACACAGCGCTCACACCACACATCCTCAGGTTGGTTAATGGGAAAGAAAGAGTTGAATAAGAGATTCACTATGCGTCGTGACACAGGCCGCGAATCAACTTCAAGACGAGTCAGAAGATGCTCCATGGGACAGATTTGCCAGAACTTTTTAAAAAGAGAAAAAGATATTAAAGGAGTTAAAAAATAAAGAGGAAAACCCAATCACATTATTAAGTGTTGTATGAAGCGTTGTTTACACACAAAAAGACTCAACAAATATAAACAGCATTTACCAGAAAAGCATAAGCATTTTTAACGTTTACCAAAATACCAGCATTTACTTGAGGTCACATATTGATGCAACAACGTTACTTTACTGTTCTGATGCACCTCTAAATCTCCCAGTATCTCTGATAGATCGGTAAAATTCTAGTTAAAGCAATTCCAGCTCAATATACCTGCAATGCTAATGCAATTCCATAGGTATAAGGAAGAAATATTTACCCTGCAAGGATATCATCGCAGAATATAATTATTTGTCTTTATATGCCATATTCTCATCATAGGACAAAGTAGGACCAAACTACCTACGAGTATGGCACACATCCTAAAAACCTGTACAGAACAAGACCCTTTCCAAAACTATCCCAAACCATAAGTGCATCCCATCATCAGCGGAGCTCTAGCTTATTAGTAACACAGTAATCAAAGGCTATGACATTCAGAAAGAATAAACAGCTTGTTATGCCAGCAGCAATACTACTCACATTTGTAATTTTTGTGAGAAGATCTTGAATTAATTATGTTGTGCACTTTCAGATTTAACAAAAAAAAAAAAATCAATGTCAAAAATAGGTTTTCTTGGCATTGAAAAATATTATTTTATTCTTGAGTAGAACTATTTGCAGCAGCTAACTCCCCTGTGATCTCAAACTATGGGCACCCTTACTAGAATTATCATAAAAATAAGGTCCTTGGAGTAAGCATTAAAGTAATCCCTGGACTTACCAGAGATGTATATTACAGTTTTTAAATAAATAGGAAGTTACTGACAAAACATCTAACACTTACTAGGATTTTTTTTCTTTTATGTAAACCTGATCCTTCCTTTAGAAGATTTGAATCTTTTAATCTTATAAAAATAAAGCACAGTCGATGAAAGATATCCATTATGCCTAAAGATTGAACTAATACCACCCCAAAAATCCCTGAAGTTGAGAATTATTTTCTTCCTCTGTCTTTAATGGCAGCAAATTCAGAATAATTCAGGAAAGCCAAAAAGATTGTTTGCTTGAACTTTCATACTGAATGACAGAAAACTTCAAACAAGAATTTTTTATACATTTAACAGCAGCATGAATACTTTGTTTTTAAAAGACTGTGCACAAAGCAACAACATTAAAAAATCAATTTAAAGCATTGTTGATGTTGAATACAAGTTAAAAAAAGCTTGTTTGTATTTTACTATACAGATAACAGATATTAATGAATCAATTCATGACAGTAGATGCCAGTCCTTTAACCATACTTGTATATCGCATCTTATGAAGAGTTAAAACTCAGCACAAGAAGTGCTGAGTGCCCGTGAGGTTAATGTAGAAATGAATATTAAAAAAATACATAAGATGATTATAAAAATGACACATAATCAGATTATATGGGGAATATGCTTGCTGAATATTTTTAAAATAATAACACAAGAATATGATAGAAATTATGATTAAGATTTCAGAGTCCAACACTTTCAGAACAACAGTTTTGTGATTTGTTTCTGCCGATTCTGTGAACCAAGTGATACATCTCCTAACACAGAGGCACCATCAGTGTGAGGTCCAGTGTAACAGTGATACTTTTGCCAGTCTCTCTCAGATTTACCTGGTAAAGCCTGGCTTTAGAATCTGCTGAAGCAGAAATGTCAGGAAAAAGGCTATCCTTTAGAATACTACCACTTATTTATAACTCTGAATTGTCTCCTCCAGTTATCTCCAATAATCTTAACAACCAGAACTAACTATCTAAGTAAAGGTACAGCTATGCATCATTAATCTCAGGAGATCTGCAAACACTACTAGGACCCTACTGGAAACTTTTTGTGCTGACAGTCTGAATGAAAATACCTTGTACTTGCAGTGTTTGTCTCCATTTCGCATTGTCTATGGACTTGCCTAATCAGTGTATTGAGGTATGTATTATGGAAGCACCAAACTTGCTGTTGTATTACTGTAGACCTTATCCTGAACCTGTATGCAAGAAGCTGAAAGCCCTCAGTTCCAAAACTGCCTCACATTTATCTTCTCTTCTGAGCATATTTTGGGGAATTTGGAAGGTACTAAGGCGGTCTAATCTCAATATAACGTCTTTGAGGTCCTGTCATCCAAGCTGGAATACACACATTTGGCAAACAGGTAATTCTCATGTTAAGGACAGATGTGTTCCTTGAGCACTGAAGCCTTAAAAATCTGACAAACCAAGCATTAATTTAATTCTCTCCTGAACAACAGAGATACATACCTCTGACTTCATATAGCGTACGTGCCTAACACAAGATAAGCATGTCCTAATAATTATGCTTAGCAAGAGACAAAACCATGATTAAGATAAAATGTAAAATTAAAATTAGAAAACAATCAACAGCAGAGAGTGGAGAAAGAGCTCAAAGATGCTATAATGCCTAAGGCTGGACAGTATCACCCTAAATAAGAGTCCACAGCAGAACACAAAGTTCATTCAAAATCACTATAAAAAAGAAATCAAAAGCCCAAAGGACATGCCCACCAAAAAAAAAAAGTTAAATAAAACTAAAAGAAGCAGTTTGGTAAAGGCATAAAGCATTTAGAAGGTGAGAGAGTCCTGACTTGAGCTACCAGTGGGAAAGCAGTGTGGCTGTAACTACTGCTCTGTCCTGGCATGGCCACGAGAGGGCAGGGAAGACAGAAACATGCCGAGAAAAAGGTCTGAGCAGATGCTCGGTGCTTGCGATTTTAGCCACTGAAAAAAACCCCACAAACAGGCAAGCACGGGGAGGCCACTGGACCTACTCATCGTCCCAAGCTAGTCAAAAATGGCGGGGGGGAGGAAAAGGAGCAGAGTGTACTTGGCTAAACAAAAAAGCAAACTTTCCAGCATGTCTATAAAATCTCAGCTGTAGTAATATCCAGACTTGGTACTATCTCCTATGGTTAATTTTTCTGTGAAGAACAGCTATGGAAAGGCTGAAAGCTCACCAGAAACGGTCACAATTTCTTTCCTTCTTTATTTTTAAAGTTTTTTCATGGACATCATGATTTCATTAGAATTCACAAAATCACTGGAAAGAAGTGCTTCTATACTACTACCTACATTTGGATCAAAATCTTTAAAACGGACAGAAGTGACTAACAGCAACAGAATGCACAAGTCTTAGAAATAAACTCAGTTATATGCTTAAACACATGAAGAGGGGAAAAACTAAAGTTGAGAGTATTCTACATCGAGCATATATTTTTTTTTCCTTTTAGGAATACTGCAGTACTCTCAAAAAGTACTTTCTTCTTTAAATAAATGCCTTGGGTTTATCTCCTTCTTGCTACTTAAGTGTCATCCTACCTTAGCAGCCTTGGTAGCCTTAATTTTCAGCAGCATATCAACAAAAGCCACTCGCACTTTCTCTGAATTGTCGTGAAGACTGTGCTTGACTGCTGGCAGGAGCTGTTCCAGTAATGGGTGACTTAGTTTGTTGTCCAAAATTATCGGTAGGCACTGCAAGAAAAAAGATTATGCTAAAAAAAAAATAAAAAAATTTAAAGAGTAGATTTGGAAAAAAGAGGTAGCTAGAAATTGTTGAACTGGACTATGACACTTCTAAGGTTAAATTAAGTAGGGACAGACACCGCGCATGCATATTTTTCCTGTAATATTCTTTAACAAAAATTTCTACAGTTATTTCATATTTCCAGTGAACTGTGTTCAGTGAACTCATTTCACATGAAGCAACTTCAGATCTACTCCGAGGCCACGGTCTTGCCTTCTACCTGATGACACAATGTCAAGTTCTTTTTTGTGGTAGAAATACCAGCTCCCCAAACTGCTGATTTCAGATTAAAAATACATCTTTTTTTGCCAAGTTATTTTTAAATCAGCACTTTCTGCTTATCCAGTATAGACCCCCACGCAGCTGTAGTGGAGCAAGTAAGGATTAACATGAAGATAGCTCCAAATTAAGGCTGAATTGACACATACACAATATTTTAAAGTGAAAATACTGCTTAGGGAGTTGATTTTTCTGTCCAAGCTATTAGTTATTTACCAGATGCCAGAAAGATGTAGATGTAGAACTAATCCTAACATACTGAACAATGTATGGGAGGCCAGCATTCCCAGAGAAACAGTATGTAATTACATTCATCCAAATCTCTGAAACACCAAGTGGGGTACAAAATCATAACATAATTGTGCAGGTCTAGGGATGGGTTAAAACCAGTGACAGAGAAACATACTGGAACCTGCCTGCATACATTTTCAAGTCTAAGCATAACTTCTAATAGCTAAAATAACTAAATTGTCAGGTCCAAACTCCGTAAAGTGGTTGAAAGTCACAAAGCAAATCAGTCACTATTTTAAACAGCATTTGTTCATCCCAAATGTTTGGCTTTTATACAATGTGTGCAAAACTAGCATGCATTAGGAACTTTATTGCATAAGTAATTTTGCAGAATAAGTAACTTCCTTGACTTAAAGTGGCCTATACTAGAAACCTGTGCATCAAGTAAAATATAGAAATTACAATAATGATTTTAAATTTAGAATAAAAGATTTACTTTAAAAACAGAGCATCGAACATCAGCAGATGTTACATCACATGTCAGCTCTCCAGTTAGTTTTTTTAAAAGATCAGCAAGAATTGTTGGAGGAATCATCTCCCAGTATTTGGATGTTATCTGAGTAACTCCGAGTATCCCTGTAGAGCGGACAACTGGATGAGGATCTTCTAAGAGATTCTAAAACAAACAGAAGAATAATAGTGTGAGTATATGCATTATTGTGACTCCACTGCTGTTTGACATTAACCTATTACAAACAAATAGCATTCCACTACCTTTTAATCATTATGTAAATTGTGATACTATGAAAGAAATGTAATATTAATATTCCCTCAAGATACTTTATTATGAAGCAAACTAGGAAATTTAAATCAGAAGCAAAATTAAGACAAATATTAGCCATTTCTTTAATTGGATTTTTGAAATAGTTTTTTTTTTAAAAAATATGTCACTAAGTCTTGCATCTGTGACTTAATTAAGAATATTTGAACTTCTGTTTACATATGAGTTTACACTGGCCACTGTTCCTATGCAACAATATAAAAACTTTGAAATTCATTCAATTATCTGATGTTTATATTTTTAAAGACCATAATCAGGATTTCCCAAACATTATCTTAATGAGAATACTATGCTCATTCTCACCCATCTAGACTGGTAAAGAGTTTTTTAGGTTCTTATCTCCATTAAACTTAATTTCAGAAGTATATAGTAACACAGTACTGAACTTCCATTGAATGCTTACATATTAAATGTAAACCAATCCTAGGTTAAGTAAGGACCAAGATCCATTACTCATGCATCTAGTCTTTCAAAAGCATCTTTCATTCACAGAATTAATGAATAACAATCCCAACTACTTCCTTCTCAGAGTTGAAAATGATGCACGTCATCTGTTGTCAACATATAACAGAAATTTAAAATATTATTTTTTTATTTTCTGCATCACAGGCCTGTGTTTGCCTACGAATACTATCCTGAAACTTCATAAATTTTAATTGCATCAACAGCTTATTTTTTGAGTTAGTTTTGATGAAAGTTTCATTTTTAACATTTGAGTTTCATTATAACTTACAAAAAGTTCTTCAAACTGTTTCTGAATTTGATTGTCCATCTCTTCAGTGTTAAAATTGGGATCACGAACAGGAAAAGCATCAACAAACAAAAACGCTGCATTTGATCGAACTTCTGAGTTTCTGGCCTGTTACAATGAAAGAAAAATTTTTTTTCAGTAAGTAGACTTTTAATATCAAAAGGCATATCCTGTCAAATACTGCTCTCCAAACATGCAGCAAGTTAGTAGTTTTACATTTCTGCCCATCCAGTAAAACCTAAGATATTAGTACAACCAGCTTTCAAAGCATATCAACTTCAATGATCCCGAAGAGTCAGTCAGAACCCTTCTACTCTCTGTAATGCTGAATAAATTAAAAGCTGTTGGGATTTCTCTCAGTCACCTTTAAAGCTTCTCTTCAGAATACAAGAATCTTGAATTCAAGCAGATTGAATTAATTAAATTACCTGTCGAGGAACAGGTGATTTAATTGAAAAGCTCAATCCTATTTCTTCAAGAGAAGAGTATTTAGAAACTAAGTACCAGCAAGCCTGGAGAGTAACTTATCCAACATAAACATATTCAGTTCTGCATCTATGCACATAAGTAACAGGACCATGTTCTCAGCTCCAGGCAGCTCATCAAAAATCAAAGGTAAGCCTCATAACCCTCAGACACTTTACCATTTGTAATAGTTTTCAGTATGTTACACTATATATTTCGCTGGTTGTAGAGCCCCAAATGTAAAGAAAAATGAAACAAGTGTATGTTTAGACAGTCAGTAAAAAATAATTGGCCCTGTGGACTCTTAAAGGATAGAAGAGAGCAGGCAATGAAATGAAGGAAAGATGTAACACAAGGTATCTCAGGGAGAAACCTGAAAGCTAACCATCAGACTACATTTTATTTACCAAAGACAGCAGTGTAACAATAAGATTCTGTGCTCACTTCTCTTGGAAGAAAGGATTTTGTTCAGCTTTTGGGTCCAAGTTAAAACAAAAGTATATATATATTTTAAACTACACAAACACAGTCTAATGACACAAGCAAAGTAGACTTAATTTTAACTGCAAGTTAGGAGATAGTTAAGGAAACCTCCTGACTATCCTAATCATCCACTTTTCTTTGTCCCTTGTCATAAGGGACATTCAGATCAAAGGCAGGGGAAAACAACTTGAGGATAACCATGTAATATTTAGAATTAAATAAACTAATGGCAAATAAAAACAGAAAAACACAAAATAAATGACCAACAATTACTTCATTTATAATTTATTTTTTATTTCCCTTCTGGATGGTGGGTCACATCTCTGGGTAGAACCAAATTCTAAATTCTTCGAGCCAACAAAATTAATAGCAATTCTACATTTAATACTATGAAGGCAAATAACGCCCATATATACACTCTTTAGTTAGGGACTTGTGGTTTACTTTATCATGGATAATACAAACAGTCTAAAAGTGAAAAGATTATAATTCTTAATTGAATCCTATAAAGCTGCAGAAAATCCTTTCACTTTGAGCTTGTCTATGTTGAAGAATTAATGCATAACAAACTAATATGTGAAGTCAGGGTGAAAGAGGTCTTCTGCACTAATATTTCATCTGAAAATTAATTCAAGTATGTTTTCGTGCAATAACCTAGACCTTGTATACCATGGCCATTCCAGAAAGTTAATTTTCATAAAATTTCTAAGTACATTACACTGAATTCCATTAAGCTGACTTTAATTCTGAACTGAGTACCCACAGTTTAAATTCCTGCCTTTAATTAATTGGAATTTATCCCAAATGTATTTGCATATTCAAGCTCATAACAGAGTAAATATCTTCACAGAGGTAGAACCTAGGACTTTAAATTCATATCCTATTTTATTCCAGACTCACTTTTCCATGCAAGAGGAGCCTGCAGTCATTTAAATGACTGATGTTTCTTTACATTATGCTTGTACTATTCTGAGGAACTTTCAGAACCTTTTTAAGCAATATTTTAATTTTTTGTTCAGTTAATTTTCAGAGCTTTCTTATAAGTTTCATCTGGTCTTATAGATCCTGAAATTCACTTCCACTTATTTAAAACACTGTTTTTTCCCCAGTAAAAGTTAGTTTAAAAGTGTAGGATGATAAAAAAACCAATCACAAACTAAACACACTGCTTTAAAGTAAACATTTCCTTTAACAGCTTGAATTCCTGGAGGAGTGGTTCTTGACTTTTTGAGCTTGATAAGAAATAGCTTAATAACTATAAATATCCATATTTTTATATTTATATAGCTTCTTATACTAACAACCAATCACCACACAACTGTCTCTGCTATGTTTGTATGAGACTTACTTTTCATAATAAAGACATGAGAAAAGATGAAGAAGTTACATAGGGGCTTATATTAGAAAAGCTTAAAGTTGCATAAAGGCTTATAAAATATGTGTGTGTAAAAGCCACAAAGGAAGCTTGTGCGATCTATGTATTTGCAAAACAAGCAATTTAAGAAGAAACCAAGAACTATGCATTACAAATATGTATTCTCAGTTTAAAGTTTTCAGAGATGAAATCAAGTAGCTTCAACATGAATAGTTGTGGAATCCTTTGTATTTTTACAACTGAAATATTTTTCCTTTCTGCAAGAAGGGGTACAGATATCCTTCTAGGAGTTCCCTTTCTGCTTTGTAACCAGTGTTCTAGAACAAGATTTGTTCTTCACTATATTAAATTAGGGATTTGTACACTGGCTAAAATAGGAGCATCAAACTGGTTATCTAAAATTAAACTGACATTGCAAGCTTTGGAGCAGAATCCATACCAGTAAGGACAATTATAAGCTTCCATTCTTAGTTCTGTATCTTAAACTACTGGTGATTGAGAGTCACAACAGTTATCTTAAAAATGCCAAATACTTCAGCAGTACGATATGAAAAAGAAAAATTAACTATACAAAAGTCACACAGCAAGACAGTGGCCTATCCAAAAATAAATTGCCAAATTTTGACGTTCAGTCACATATTTCCTTTCACCAATCACAAATATGGTATTGAATCATTTGGAATTCAGAATCTATCCTTGCACTGAATCATTACATGATTCATATAATCGCTGCTTTCATTTTTTTACTATCCTCCCTTTACTGTTCTGAAATATATGTTCCCAGCAGTTAGACTATTTTGCTCTATTAAAAAAAATGCTCCAGGATCTATTTGATACACCTGTTAACATCTAAGCTTGAAGTGCTTAACTACATGTGTGGAAGCTGTCAAGATAAAAAACAAACAAACCCCCCCCCCCAAAAACCCAAAGAACAACCAACCAAGGAAAAAAACCCCAACCAACCAAAAAAACCCTTCCTAAAATTTGCATTTGTTCTAGCAATGGATCCATTAGTGATGTGATAACTATCAATTGCAGCTGTTAAAAATCTGAAGCACTTCTGGGATCAGGAATTTCTCCCACTGTCTTGCTGCAAATCAATAATTATCCTTTTTTCCTCAAGCCAAACCTTTCTGTTACATTTCTTCAAATAAATCTATGCAGCTTTAATAAGGTTTGACAGAAAGTTCTTCCGAAGTACTCTAATCTTATATTTGAGTTGAGTCCTGGGCTTTAGAAAGTGAACTTCTAGCCTCCATTTGCAGATTGCAACTCCCTTAAGAATGGAATGCCGTATTTTTCTAACCACTCTGAAATTGTCTGAGACACTAGTCAGGAATTTTGCTATGCTATCAAAAGTCAATTAAAAACCCTATTCTTTTCAGAGACAGAAACATAGACATTAAAGAAAGCCATGCTTTGTAGCTGTTATTCTCTTGCACTGAGAACATTTATGTTACATCCAGAAGGATTCTTGTTTATATTAATTCTAAAGGGATGGGATCCAATCCTTAATGTAAGACCAGACAAGATACTGCTCTAGCAATGAGTCTGTCCATCTTCCCACTTCTACAGGGTTCTGTTGAAACCAAACAGCTCTCAACTCTTCCCTGTAACTCACAAAATTAATTTTAAACAACTTAAGTTGCTTTTTAAATATTTTCAAGTTTAACCATTTTTAAGTACTTTTCTCATGGCTAGAGAAGATGCTATATGACCAATCAGTAAATGAAACTTCAGTAAATGTTAAACAGCATTTAATTTGGCTGTAACAAATGGTACATGTATGCTCTCACTGAAGCAATTTCATAACCTCAGACAAAATAAAAGCTGTTCACAAAGAAGGAGGCTCATATTAATCACAGACTGTAGCTGAGTAGGTAAACTGCAGTAGGTACCCTTTAGTCTATGCATACAATCCACAGGAAAACATAATATACCTTAAAAGTACTAGAAGTCAGAAATTTCATTCTGAATGCTTGATTAAAAGCACATCCATAGCATGAATGTCTGTACATACAATCAAACTAGAATAAAAGGTTTTCTAAACTAATACTCTAATAAATTAATTGAGCTGTACTCTAAAGCTGGTAATTAATCAGAAGATGAGACTAAATCATCCTCTGAACATTTCTGGCTTTGATCAATAAAGCACTGATCATTCCATAAAGAACTTGGAAAACAGAATACAAGATCACACAAAATTCCCAAATTGAGAAGAAGAAGAGAAGAACAAACTTAGTGTTAGTCCCACTGTCTACTGCAACCTGGAAAGCACTCTGTGTACCTGTAAACAAAACTGAATTATAGAAGTAAATTATATTAACAAATTAGAATATTGTTGTGAAAACTATGCATAATTACAACTTGCAAAGTTACTCTGCTACAACTGAGATGCTAAACACACTGATTATTTTTTTTTCCATAGCCACTTTATTTTAAAAGCAATTATTAAAAACGTGTGGAAGGGACCCAAAATTTAGTAGTCGGAAAAGATAGTCCTATATTCTCAAAAGGATAATTACCTTCAGTGCTCTCCAAAGGATAGGTTGATACAATCTATAGAGCATTTCTTCAACTCCTTGACGAACTTTACTTTGTTTATGAAAATAACTCAGCATCTGAGAAAAACAAACAAACCAATCCCAAAAACCATTTTTAACAGTACTTTCTACATTCATGAAGTGTGCAGGATTTGTCTCATTTCATCATTTATATAAGACCAAATAGTTTTTCATACTATGGAAAATGATAAAATTAGACAGATTAAATGAGCCTATATTTTATTAAAACCTCTCAAAAATCATAAGAAAAGAAATTGATTTAATAAATATCACATTTTATAACTTTATAGATCAATAAATCTATATAAATATCTACAACTGAGAAATAAAATCATGGCTAGAGAGTCAGTTTCACAGCAACCACTCAGATTTTGTTACAGTAAAAAACTCTATTTTTAAAGTAACTAGCAGAAATACTTTGAAACCATGTAATTATCAACTTCAGATAAATAACCCACTTCTCTGTTAAGAACAAAGGAATATTATTTGGTAACTGGAGTTATCCAAAGACAAATCTACAAACGTAATACATTTTGTATGCATTGATGAAAAGCAAGTATCAGCACCCCTTTTGACTCAGAACTGTGCTTTGATAGCTAAAGCCCCTTTTATTTTTGTATCTGAATTATGCAGACAAAAAAGGAAAGTTGAAAACCAGAGCAGAATATGAGAAAGGACATCATGTAACTTGATAGGATTCCTCCATGCAAAACACCACAGTTGAAAAGAAGTTGACCCCTCTAGTGGCAACTCTGAATACTTCAGGTACAGCTAGGCAGGGAAGCCTCTGAATAGCACCTACAGAAACAACGCTATAGGGAAAGAATACCTTTTACTTGCTT